AAAAGGGAATATAGAAAAGCAAAAGAGAAATATGAAGGTGAAAGTTGCTAGGAATGAAGGCTATCCAAAAGGATGCTTTCAGGTATACCAGGAGGTAAGAATGCATGGACAAGATAGGCCCACTCTAAAGTGTCCTCGGTATCTCACTGTCATTATAGGGAAATGGTGATTTATATGTTTTAATCACATACTTCACGCCAGTTTTTTTAGAACAGGAGGTAACAGCGTTTGGACTGAAATGTGTTAGGAGGGAGTTATGGGCAGTATTTTATTCTGTGCACTAGTTGGGGTACCATGTGGACTGGGCCTGTGGCTTAGTAGTGAATTTGTATGTGAATTGTTTGAAAAGAAAGGTGGGATAGGTTTGATTGGGTGATTTAGGTATTGGGGGATTGTGATTAGAATATAATTGGATTTATTTGTAATATGTGAATAGTATTGAGGATGTAATGTTCATGTGGTTTTGGATATTGTGAGTGATGTGGGGATTTGATGGGGTATGGGGAATGTAGGAGTTAGTTGTTAATTGTTGGAAGTTATAATTTGGGGTTTGGGTTGTTGATTTTTGGGAAGGGGAAGAGGTAATAAGGGGTTTTTATGTTTTGTTGATTATTTAGATATGGGGGTGGTATTTTTATGAAGAAGGTTATTGGGTGGTTATGGGGGATAGTATGGGGTGTGGTTTATGGGTAGTTGTGTGTTTGTATGTTTTTAATTAAGTAGTGGAGGTGGAGCAGGTAACCAAATTCAGATGACTAGGGAGGATATTTAAGAACTGGATTGTGTTAAATATAAAATGGATTTGTGTTTTCCTGAGAAGGCATGGTTGACATTTAACACAAGAGTTTTTGCATAAATGGGTAAATCAGAGTGGGGAAGAGGCACGAGCGGGTTCCACTGGTCTGGGGCCGTGCCGATGTTAAAATGATAATGGATAGAATTTTATGTGGATTTTTTAGGATTATGATTTGGGAGGTAAAGTTGTAAAATTTTTGGAAAGATTTGTGATGGAGGGTAGTGTAGTGTATAGGAATTTTGGGGTTGTTAGTGGGATGGGAAGTGTTGATTGGTATTTGGGTGTTTATAGTATGATGGATGTAAGGGTTATAATCTCACATTCATATCTATACTGGGGTATGGTACTTAGTTAAATACATTATTTTAGTTTGTTGGGTGTTAGTAAGTGGTAGGTGGAGTATTTGTAGTTTGAGTTTGAGGGTTTGCAGGTATCTGAGACCAAGACAACTGTGCATAAGTGTGCACATAAAGCTTATGAGATATCACCTGGCTGCTAGTGTCAAGAAGCTTATATAAATAGGAGGAATCCTCAGGTTGTTCTTCTACTCTATCATCTGGGTTAGCCTCATTTATGATTATGCTGCACTGTTTTGGTCACCGTATTACAGAATGGACATAAAGCTCTGGAAATGTTACAAAGGAGGATGTACAAGTTGTACCCCTTGTATCAGAAACCATCCCATGAGAAACTAAGGGCCCTTGAATCTGCATCTCTAGAAAGACGTAGAATAGGGGATAAGATTTGAGGTGGAATAAATGAAAGACAGGAATAAATAAAGGGGATGTAAATAGTGCTGAAATTATCCCAGCCTTAGACAGGACTCGCAGCAAAGTGGTTTTTTAAGTTGGAAAAATTCAGATTCAGGAAAGGATAAGAACGAGTACTGGTTGGTAATAAGAGTTGTTGGATGAGTGAACAAACTCCCAAGTACAAGTTATAGAGGCCAGAACGTTGTGTAGGTTAAAATAGGTTGTATAAATACATGAAGGGTGTGGCGTGGGTGTGCGTTTGGGACCGGTACATTAGCGTTGTGCTACCAGGGCGGATTGCCAATGTTCCTCCCCTAAGTCAATGTGACCAGCCTGACTAGGGTTAGTGGGATTGCTTAAGAGCCGGTAGGAACTGGACCTGCCTCGCATGGCCAGTATGCCTGCGTGTCAGTGTTCCTTTGTTCTTATGTTCTTATGCTCAAAATCCCAATTGGTTTTTGATGAGCAGTGCCACTCCTCTTCTCCCTGTGTTCCCTCTGTCTTTCCTCAGAATTTGATGTCCCTTTGGAAAGATGGCATCTGTTATCATTCCTGTGAGCTTGGTTTCTGTAAGATTATAATGTCTGTGATGCCTCGACTCCTTTGAGTGCCACTCACTCCCATTTATCATATGAACATCAGCATTGGTGTAACCATACCCTTCAAGTATCAGCTCCCCAACACTGTGTTCTATGGGGTCTGTGGGGGCCGGGGACCTGGCAGTGTGCTGTGGGATTCTACAGCATAGTGTGGGATGGGGACTGTAAGTGTGGATTGTGGGTTGTGTTGAGATAGGATGTTTGGGAATCAAGTGGGTTCCTGCGGGTATTTCGGTGTGTGGCTTCTCTGCACTTGTGTTGTTCAACCCCACACTGGTTTGTCTCTGCGGAATCTGGCCTTTGTCTCCTTCCTAGCCCCTGTTCATTTCTGTTCCCCTCAGCTGCTGTCATCTGTTTCTAGTACGCGTCTCGGCTATGGAACCCCGCTCTTGTATGTTGCAAAATGTTGCTTCTAGCCGAAGTTTCTCGATTGTAGGAATCAGTTTTCTGCACCATTTCTGTCTTGAAAATCATTGCATGGCCCTGGCTGATTTTCTCTCCAGTTTCAAGTTACTCCCTAATTCTCCAGAAAAATTCAAGGTAATTCATTCATGTCTCCCTCACTATTTCTTTGATGTTTTCAATCTCCTGCAGCTTTTCCTCTCTGCCATCTTCATTGTGTGTCCTAAACTCACTCTCATGAACCTATGAATAAACATGACTTCATCACCTCTCGACCTCCTCCCTATGTGCCTCTCCCTCTGTGTCTCTGGGACCATTTGGTCACATCGTCCATTGTCTTCCTTTATTTTTTTCCTTTATCTCTTGGTGGCATGGTTTGTGCGGCTTGCATGGTACTTGACACCTTCTCTCCCCCTCAGCTTTCCTGCGACCCTGCTCCCAACAGCGCTCCATCCCCTTCATGTATTCTTGGTGGCCCTGCTCGGTGGACTGACAGGCTTAGCATAAGTCCTTATCTCCTTCTTTCCATTCTGTTTGGGCTCCTCGTTCAGTAGGGTTTACCTGCTTACCAATGCCAAATCTCCTATGAACAATAGCCCTGTTACTGATTTATTTCCAATGTTTACCTCATATGCAAGGGCTGTATCCTGGCTTCTGAGCAGTCTTCAGCTTGCGACGTTCCAATTTCTTCCTCTCTGCCTAAACCCATTCCGCTTTTCCATTTTTAACTGAAAGGATCACCTAGTTTGCTCTCCCACTCCTTGAGTTTCGCAACCGTTGTACATTGGCTTTCTTCCTCCTTCCTTCTTGTGTGTGTGTGTGTGTGTGTGTGTGTGTGTGTGTGTGTGGTACTCACTATTTTTCTTACTCACCTATTTGTGGTTGCAGTGTGTATGTGTGTGTGTGCACGCACGCATATATCATTAAATTTGATCCTAAAGATTCTCAGTATTTTTTAGTTACTTCAGATCCTGTGATCTACTAGAAATTAATCTGGGTTCTATTGATAGATCATGATCGACATTTAAGCCATTCCTTGCCTGTAGAAAAGCTAAATGATACAAAGCAAACTTTGCCATTTTGTTTAATATTTTCGTTAAAAGTATTTATAAATTTCAGTCTTTATTACATTTCTAAGAATTTTTATGTCCTTTAGTATTACGAGTGTCAAGGAGGGACAGTGAGACAGAGTTACTCTTTCAGTCAGAATAGCTGGTATTAGTGTCCGTAAGGATCATAAATGCACTTCCTGCTTTACTGTCTTCTTGTTTGACTTCCATTGAACTTCTACAACTATAAATAATAACTGCGGTGGCCAAGTAGTGGCGAACATAGTCTCGACAATGCTTCAATGAGTGTGGGGAAAGGACAGAGCTCTTCTAGCATGGTGTCAGTCCTAATTAGTCTTGTTTACAATAAGTCAGAGAGAAAGAGTGCAAGATGGCAAGAGGTTAATAACATCAAGAGGAGCCTTGAAACAGCCGGATGCCCAGTAATAAGGGATCCACCCCAGCTGTATAAATCTAACTGCAACCAAATGTGTTTAGATCGGATTACCCTGCAAACCTGAACAGACGGCATGCAGACGATACCTATCTCCACTTCAGCAGGGGGGGGGGGGGGCTGCTGCTGCCAGCTTCAAGGAGCTACAGAAGTCCTGAAAATATTGTGAACTTACCCACCTCTATATGTTTGCACCCACAATCTCAGAGACCAAAGGCCCACGGATAAGAGTGAATGTAAGTTCCTTAAGGTGCCAGGCAAAAAAAACTTCACAGGGTAACTAGGGATCCCAGACCAGCTAGCTTTATGTACCAGAGACTCAATGCTGCAGTTCAGAGGGGTAATACCTGTTGTATCCTGGGCGCGCATCGCAGCTGCGAGGAGCTGGATTAGATTTTTGTTAAGTAATTCTTGACAAATACATAATAATATGTACTTGTAATGTAGCCCTCAAACCTCATGTACATGTATTGTATATGTTCTCTGTGTACCATAACATTTAAATTCTTGTGTCAATTACATAATAAAATATACTTGTTGTGTGTGTAGGAGGTCAAACATTTTGAAACCAAATTTTTCTCATATAAATAATAAAAAATATTTATTGTTTCGGTCCTCAAGGAAGGCCTGGAGTGGTAGGGGAGGGGCTTTATTCAAATGGCTTCTTTGAAGTTAAGCCGAATGCTTCCTCAAATAATCTTCATTCTTGCTTCTCCCAGGTTAAGGTTCCCCACAATTGCACTAGAGGCAGGAACTATACGTAGTTTTAAGACGAGGTATGATAAAGCTCATGGAGCAGGGAGAGGGAGGACCCAGTAGCGGTCAGTGAAGAGGCGGGGCCAGGAGCTGAGTCTCGACCCCTGCAACCACAATTAGGTGAGTTAGGTGGACCACATTTTTATATTCACTTTAAAAGTTAATACAATTGTTTTTAATGCAGCAGCCTACCTTCCGAGCCTCACTGATCACCTGGCGTAGTGTCGACGGCATGGTTGTACCATCACTGTTCTTCACTTCCATAACTCCAACTGCCCAGGAAGAGTCCAGATGTTCTATCTCCTGAACCAATACACATACAAAAACATTATTATCAAAACATTATTATCCCAAGCGTTCCTTGGATAAAGAATGGTGTGCATGGAAGCAGTAAACAAAAGAAATATATGTTGCAGCGAGAAGCAAGTTGGAAACAGTGGAGATATTGTATCAGAGAGCAAGGTGTGTAGCAATATAATATAATTGAATCTTGTTTCATAAAAAGCAGTTTTGAAAATAATATGAATATTTCCTTAGGTTTATATAAATTAGATTCATTTATAATTAATAAAATTTGGTTAGAGTTTAATTGAACAAATAATAAAACTTATTTCTTGGGTAGAATAATTTGTTAGTGGGATGTCGTGAGGACCTGTCTAGTTGGACCAGCGGACCTACTGCAGTGTTCCTCTTTTCTTATGAGTCCAGTATTGTCGCGCGTCAGGTGTTTCTTTGTTGTGGGAGCTGACTGTGAGGTGTAGTCTAAGCCCTTTAATTGCCTTCCTTTGATGTATTACTTTCATAATTCCTTGACAATGTGAGTAGTCACGAAAGCGCTTGGAATTTCATATATATATATATATATATATATGCAATAAGATCACAGTAAACAGGTGATTTTAAAATATGCAAAATAACCACTGTGAAAGAATAATGAAATTCCAAGTGCTTTCGTGACTACTCACATTATCAAGGAACAATAAAAGTAATGCATCAAAGGAAGGCATATAAAGGGTCTAGACCACACCTCACCGTCACATCTCACACCAAAGCAACACCTGACATGCGACTCATAAGAAAGAGAACATTGCAGCAGGCCCGCTGGCCCAACTAGACAGGTCCTTCACAGCAACCCACAAACAAACTAGTCTACCCAAGAATTAAGATTTATTATTTGTCCAATGTATTATTAAATTCTTCCCAAATTCTATTAATTATAAGTGGATCTAGTTTATATAAACCAAAGGAAATATTCATATCATTGTCAAACTGCTTTTTTGAAACAAGATTCAGTTATATTCCTGTCGATCATGGACTTGCTTGATACAACTTTCTCAACTTTTTGAAAATCGATTGGATGGTTAAAATCTCTCACATGAATAAATAGAGCATTGGAATCTTGTGCAGTTCTAATGCTATATTCATGTTGTTTTCATCTTAGTTCGAGATTTTTACCAGTTTGACCATAATGAACTTTATCGCAAAATTGACAAGGAATCTTATAGACACATCCATCAGCATTTTGGGGGGAATTCTTTATTAAAAGTATTTTAATTGTATCAAGATTTTTAAATGCAACTTTGATATTAAAAATCTTATGAAGAGAAGGCATATCAACCAAGTTTTCATGGTAACGGAGAACCAACATATTTTTAGTTGAATAAGATTGGTTGTTCCTTTTTGGATTGTAAAAAGAATTTCTAGCAACTTTAAAAGATTTATCAATTACCTTTCTTGGGTATTTTGGATATTTCTTCATCTATGAACTCTGTACTACAAATACGTAAAGCTCTCAAGAACATTGATGAGAAAACAGACATTTTAACTATCTTGATACGAAGAATAATAGTGTACATAGGAGCAGCTCCTATGTACAGTTCCTATTCCCCCCAGAAAGGTAATAAAATATCAAATTTTGATGTTGTCCAATACCAAAACTCAGTTTTGTTTTATTATGATAAACAAGTAGTGAAAGTCTGACGACGATATGATTAGACATTCTTAAGTTAATTATATATAACCAATGATAAGCATGTCTAAGATACACTTTAGGTATTTCCCTCTTTGGTTAGGTTAGGTAAGAATCCTCAGGAAACACAACAAGTGTTTCCTGACTCAGGTCTTGTTTGTCATGACAAGCTACTGTCCCAAATACCATTCGTCTCCATTCACTCCTATCTAACACGCTCACGCACGCCTGCTGGAAATCCAAGCCCCTCGCCCACAAAACCTCCTTTACCCCCTCCCTCCAACCCTTTCGAGGATGACCCCTACCCCCCATCCTTCCCCTACAGGTTTATACGCTCTCCATGTCATTCTACTTTGATCAATTCTCTCTAAATGACCAAACCACCTCAACAACCCCTATTCAGCCTTCTGACTAATACTTTTATTAACTCCACACCTAAATTTCCAACACTCCGAATTTTCTGCAAATATTTACAAACACATTGCCCTTCGACAGGGACATTTCTCCACTGCTCCAACCGGCCTCCTCGCTGCAGCAGTTACACCCCAAGCTTCACCAGCATATAAGAGTGTTGGTACCACTACACTTCATACATTTCCCTTCTTTTGCCTCTACCTAGATACGTTTTTGTCTCACATATACTCAATTCACCACTCACCCCTTTTTTTCTTCATCAATTCTATGATTAACCTCATCCTTCATAAATCCATCTGCTGACACGTCAACTTCCAAATATCTGAAAACATTCACTTCTTCCATACACCTTTATCTAAATACTGTTCACATATATTCTTCAATGTAAACACTTGATTCACACATCCCCTACCAACTCTGAAACCTCCTTGTCATCCGCAATCCTACATTCTGTTTACCTCCAATTCTTTCAATAATAACCCTACTGTACACTTTTCCTGGTTTACTCAGTAAACTAATTCCTCTATAATATTTGCAATCTCTTTTGTCCCCCTTCCCTTTATATAAACGGGCTATACATGCTCTCTGCCAATCTCTAGGTACCTTCCCCTCTTTTCTACATTTAATAAACAAAAATGACATAGATCCACTCCATCACTATATTCCCCATGCTTTTAAAATTTCAGTCATGATCCCGCAGTTCCAGCTGCTTTACCCCCTTTCATTCTACGTAATGCCTCACGCACCTCCACACATTCACATCCTGCTCTTTCTTCACTCCTAAAAGATTGTATCCCTCCCTGGCCAGTGCATGAATATTACCCTTTCCCTTTCTTCGTCGACATTTAAAGTTCCTCAACAATTATTCTCGCCATCTACCCAATACTCCATCTCCCCATCTGCTAACTCTCCTATCTCTTCTTTTTAACTGACAAATCCCATTGTTCCCTGGCCTTTCTTAACTTGTGAACTCACTCCAAAATTTTTTTCGTATTTTCATTAAATTTTTTGACAGTACCTCTTTCCCCACTCTATCATCTGCTCTCCTTTTGCACTCTCTCACCACTCTCTTCACCTTTCTTTTACTCTCCATATACTCTACTCTTCTTATAACACTTCTGCTTTGTAAAACCCTCTCTTAAGCTACCCTTTTCTCTTTTATCACACCCTTTACTTCATCAATCCACCAATCACTCCTCTTTCCTCCTGCACCCACCCTCCTATAACCACAAACTTCTGCCCCACATTCTACTACTGCATTTTTAAAAATATTCCAACCCTCTTCAACCCCCCACTACTTATACTTGCACCAGCCCACCTTTCTGCCAATTGTTGCTTATATCTCACCCGAACTTCCTCCTCCCTTAGTTTATACACTTTCACCTCCCTCTTGTTTGTTGTTGCCATTTTCTTCTTTCTCCATCTACCTCTTACTCTAACTGTAGTTACAACTAAATAATGATCTGATATATCAGTTGCCCCTCTATAATCATGTACATCCTGGAGGCTACTCATCAACCTTTTAATCCACCAATACATAATCTAACAAACTACTTTCATTACGTGCTATATCATACCTTGTATATTTATTTATCCTCTTTTTCATAAAATATGTATTACTTATTACCAAACCTCTTCCTACACATACCTCAATTAAAGGCTCCCCATTTTCATTTACCCCTGGAACCCCAAATTTACCTACTACTCCCTCAACAACATTTTTGCCCACTTTAGCATTAAAATCCCCAACCACCATTACTCTAACACTTGGTTCAAAACTCCCCACGCATTCACTCAACATTTCCCAAAATATCTCTCTCTCCTCTACACTTCTTTCTTCTCCAGGTACATATACGCTTACTATAACCCACTTTTCACATTCAACCTTTATTTTACTCCACATAATTCTTGATTTAATACATTTATACTCCCTCTTTTCATGCCATAGCTTATCCTTCAACATTATTGCTACTTCTTCTTTAGCTCTAACTCTATTTCAAACCCCTGTCCTAGTCCCATTTATATCTCTCCACTGAAACTCTCCCACCCCCTTCAGCTTTGTTTCACTTAAAGCCAGGACATCCAGATTCTTCTCTTTCATAACATCCGCAATCATCTCTTTCTTATCATTCGCCATGGATATCTGCTATTACAGGAGTTAATGCCCATTACTTACTCGAATATACTGAGTAGTGTAATTGATTAATATTGAAAGTTCTGGGAAAAAATGCTCTTTATCTGGACTTAATTAAATCAAGTAAATAAGTTTGACGCACCGTAAAAAGAGTACTGGCAGAAGTGTTGCCGTCTGTGAGGTAAATAAGAGTGCCATAGACAAAGGATGTTGTTGTTGCCAGTATATCATGTATGGCCTCCCGTGCCAGGGATAACACCTTGTTGCTGTCTGTCAAGTAATAAAGTTTATCAATGATTTATAAGCTTAAAGTTTTATGATGGGCATACGACACTTCCAGACTAATCTTAGTCATTTTTTGCAAAAAATGTTGCTGAAATATTCAGAGCCACTGTCAAGTGTTTTAACATGAACTGTTATGTCAGTATGTCTATAAGGACCGTAACTCAGTTATTTGCTAAAAATTTTCATCTCTGAGAAATGTTATTTATATGATGGGCATACACAAATAACCCGCACATAAAAGAGAGAAGCTTACGACGACGTTTCGGTCCGACTTGGACCATTGACAAAGTCACACTCGGTCCAAGTCAGACCGAAACGTCGTCGTAAGCTTCTCTATTTTATGTGCGGGTTATTTGTGTATCGTTCCAGTCACGATATTGTGCCTTTTTT